AAAAGGAAGGTTTTAACTTTAACATAGTCAAATTATATATAACAAATAGTTATCAAGTAATAATTATAGTTATAATATCTGGTCTATTTGTATTTGGCAAAAATTAAAGAAAATATTTTATCTGTCTTATATTTGTGAGTCTAAGGTTTCATATCTAATTTATCTTCTATCATAACTAGGAAAATTACAACTATATTGACTTTAACTACATCAAAGACCCCAGAAGGATATAATATTACCTAAGTAAACAGGAAATATATTATAAGCAACTTCCAAAAAACTTGAATGATAGAGACAGTTGGCTGCCTGGATAGTCACCCAAAATTTTTCTGTAACTTTGGGGCATCCATCTTTAACCTATAGGCCTATAGTTTTTTTAGTTGCTTCTCTCTGTGTCCTGTAGAATGTCTGGCAGTCTTGTCTGCCAAGCAGGAACCTGAAGGACCATCTCAACCATCTCGCCTTCTTTTGGCAGAATTTAGTGGTCATTTTTTCATGGGTCCTGTATGTCCAGTCAATATAACATTTTGTCAAGCAGTCCAGGCAAGAACAGTTTCTTGCCCAAATGGCTAAATTTTATCATAAGGAAAGCAAACTCTATATGGAGTTTCTTTGATGTCCATCATCTTCTTTGAAGTAAATTGGTGCTGCCAGGAGCAGGCATGTCTCATTGTGACAGAGACAGCTGACTGCCTAGACAGATGAGCTCTTGGTTTTCACTTGAAGCTAATCTTCCTGTTATGACACCCCATTCTCTTTCTAACACACTTCAAATTTCACAGACACACACCCTACTCAAACATCATTCTCTAGTGCTCCGAACGTGGATTGCTGGATTGCTTGTTCATGTTACTGAGCTATGTGCAGTATGCTAAAAAGTTGACCACATCTCCCTTTAAATATGGCATGGCTTCCTTGTCACACAGCTGGTGTTCTGAGCTGACTGGCCACTCCCTGTCTCCTTTGTTAGCTTAGCCTCTTTGGCTTCAGCATTGGGAGTATCCCAACAGTCCACAGTAGGGCTATTCTCGATATACAGAGCTACACAGTGAGACCCTGTCTCAAAACAAAATACTCTCCACCATAGTTTTCTTGCCACAAACTCTCATCATTCTGAGTTTAGGCAACAGTATCAGTGGCTATCAGTGTTTCTTCGTCCTACTTGGGAGCTTCGTATATAACTTAATTGCTTATGTCAATGGCTGAAGCTAAGTAAGCCCGACTGTCAGGTGTGGCACTTTGCTACGTAGCAACTGTCTAAGATACCAAGAATGGATCGAAGATATTTTTGAGTGCCCTTAAAAGTTTTTGGCAATGCTGCCATTTCTGTCTTGCTGTTATGCTGTATCTACCAAGGAAAATCAAAATCCTGGAAATTAAAACTGCCTTCACCACAAAATGCCACTCCTGGTCTGAGCAGTTACTGTCTTTGTTGGTATCTGTTTCTTGAGTCAGTCTTGCTGTGCCGCCCAGACTGAAGGAACTCCTCAAGCCATCCTGAAGAGCTGCTGGCTCAGCCCACCCAGGTGTGAGCAGGGCCAGCATCTCTATTTTAATGACAGTAGCTGCTGCCCCCTGCTGGCTGTGCTCCTGACAGCACTGGGGAGCTTCAACTTCTAATTTTTGACATTCATTTTCAAAGCAAGCAGCATTTGAACAGCATTAAGGTTCTTACCTACTCTTGGCAGAAACATACATATATTAAGAGATTTATAATGTTAACTAGAACCTTCTACTACTAAAAATGACCCTACTTAAGCTGGGTGTGGTGATCAGCACTTGGGAGGCAGAGGCAGTCAGATCTCTTAAGTTTGAGGCCAGCCTGGTCTACAGAGTAAGTTCCAGTCCAGCTAGGGCTATGTAGAGAGACTCTGTCTCAAAAAAAAAAAAAAAAAAAAAGGAAGAAGGAAAGAGAAGGAGGAGAAACAGGAGGAAGAGGAGAAAAACAACCCTACTGACTATGATCTATAGATCTAGTTAGGTCGAAGGTTTTCTGCTTGTAGTATCTCAAGACAGGAAAAGATGCACTGTGCACATCCTGGTCCAGCTGAGATGTCAGCCTTGCCCTTTCACACCAATTCGGGATCCATATGGGTTGACACTCCCTGCTCCCCACCCACCCAGGTACTCTGTATTCTGTGTCTTCGGATAACTGAGCAGGGAAATGACCATAACAGGTAAACAATCTAAGACTGTATACAAAACCAGTGAAATGTCCTGAGTGGTAACTAGTTTATTAAAGCTACAAATAAAAGTAATTTCATTGACTTGCTGAGCTTGTAAGTAGCTTTTAGCTTCTGATCAATCCAAATGCATCAAGATATAATGGATATTTATACAACTAATAAAAATGGATGGGACAACTATGACAGCCAAGAGACATCTAAGGAAACAGGGTGACTAAATGTAATGTGATATGCAGAGATATGAGTTCCTGGAACAGAAAACATATACAAGGAGAAAAACGAAGAAAACTAAGGCATGGCCAATAACAGTGTTGGCCACTGATGGTGACACATTACTAACACACGGCATTAACAACACGGAGTATAAAGGGACTTGAATACCACCTTTGCAGTTTGGGGTGAATTCCCACCCTGTTTTTGAGACAGGGTCTCAAGTTGCCCAGACTGGCCAGGAACTCATTATGTAGCCTGGCTGTCCCAGTCTTGCCTCCCCAGTACCGAGGTTACAAGCATGCACATCATGCTTTGCTTTTGCAGTTTATCTATGAATCTAAAATTAGGAAGTAGATTAAACAAGACCCTCACACTGACTGGGCCCCTGAGGCCCGAGGTGGCCAGAAGCCACCCAAGTGATGCCTGGGCTCTGCAGCCCAGGGCAGGAGTCACCACTACAATGAACACATATATGATGGAGAGGTGGGAAATATAGAAAAACAGAGCGGTATGTATGCAGAGAGGCAGAACCAGAGGCGTGAGGTGGTGACAGGTGAGAGAGAGGGCTGAGGTGTACATGTTGTCATTGCCTGGTAGGGTCAGCTGGATGGTGTCCAACAGCCTGGAGCTTATGCAGATGCAGACTCGCCCCTCCCCTCCCAAACCTGCCATCCAGCCACGGGATCCCCCTGGCTCTGGGCAATGATGGAGGCCTGAGATGAAGAAAGGTTCACTTTTGGATTGGCCCTTTGAAGGACCACTGTTGGAGGCCATGTTGGTGTTGGTGGTCTAGGCTGCTGCCCCAGATGGCGATGAAACCTGAGATCCATGAGGACATATGCAGTTTATGACGCTGCCCGAGGCCGGGTGATGTCATTGGGCTTTGCTGCCTCAGGGCACCGTGCTGATTTGAGTGCCATGCAATAAAACTCAGAAACAGGAATCCAGCTATCAAGCTATAATTATCACCCCAAACTCGGCTGTCTAAGCAGGGAGTGTAGGAAGCCCGATTCCTATAGGTTATTAGAGAAGACTTGAATGTTCAGAAGGTTGTAACCACCTGAGGCTATGTTGAGGCTCATGGTCTGTGCAGCCACTGAGTGGGTCAGTGGTCCTGATATAGCCAAGGGCCGTGTTAATGTCTCCAGCCTGTATTACCACTGAAGCCCATGCAAATGCCCCTGGTCAGGGCTGCCACCTGAAGCCACGTTAATGTCCATGGGCGCTGGAAAGCTGGCCTCAACCCTCACCAGCCTATGGCACTGTGGTGCAGGCTGCAGAGGGGACCTGGGAGAGCTAGTCTCACGCTGCTCCAGCCTCAGCTGATGGCTCCTGGCATGGATGCAGGTGGGGAAAACCTCATCCTCCCTTGGGGGGCTGGCCACTAAGAATCTGACCATGCTCTAGTAAACAGATGGACAACACAAAATGGACTTGCTTTGGGGTTTTTTTTTAGAGGAAAGGAGAGATTACATGGGAGGAGGCCAGATAGGAAAAGACTGGGAGGTGAGCACAATAGGGGCATATGATGTGAGATTCCCAAATAATCAATAAACAGTATTTAAAAATAAAAAGAAAAGCATAAAAAAATAGATCAAACAAGATGCATCTCAGTGGACAAAGGCATCCCCAAACCACAAAGGCTTGCAACAATCTGTAACTACAGTTCCAGGGGGTCTGAAACTCTCTTCTGCCCTCCTCTGGCACCAGGCGTACATATGGTCTACAGAGACAGACAGGCAGGCAAAACACCCATACACATAAAAATAAAAAATTAAAAAAAAAAAAATTCTACTTAAACTCTACCATCTCAAGATTAGATGCCTCAAAAAGAACATTTAAAAACTCAATTGTCTGTGTTAAACTTGAGGGTGAGGATTTTGTAGCTAAGGAAAAAACCAAAGCCCCAGTCAGGTGAGTACACAAGACTCCAGCACCGCTGACTCTTTAGACGTCCCACCAGAGGGAGGGCTCTCTTGTTCCTTTCAGCAGAGTACTGCAAAGGCTTCCCTCTCCCCTCTAAGACGTCTCCATCAGAATGCACACCAGCTAAAATGAAATGAACAAAGATCGCTGTCCTTTACCAAACAGCTCGTGAACCAGGGCACGTCAGTGGCTATACTGACCCAGGCCACACTGAATTCCTACTAACAGTTCTCTCAGGGATTTACTCAGCAGACACTTGATTTTCATTTCTTACCTTCAACTTATCTTTTAACTCCAGTGATTACATAAAATATGCTGGATAGAAGCCCATGAAAAGAACATGTTCAAACAAAATATGAGTAAAAAAGGCACAGGCCCAAGAAAAAGGAGGTGCTATTCTGTGACTCTTCCTTCTCCATTTAAGATGGTGTGTGTGTGTGTGTGTGTGTGTGTGTGTGTGTGTGTGTGTGTGTGTTGGGGGGCAGGGGTGTCACTCAGTGGCAGGGCTCAGGCTCAGCATGCTTGAGGTCTTGGTCAACCTCCAGAACAAAATCAAACAACCACCAAACACACACACACACACCCCAACAGAACAAACAGAAACGTGAGCTAGTTTTGAATCCGACCAGTGCTTCAGTGACAGAGCAACAGGACATCTCTACCTCAATTGTAGGATGAATTTTAAATTATTTTTATTTTTAAGATTAAGCATCCTTACTGACAATCCAGAAGCAGTCCGTGCTGACAGTTAAGCAATTCCTTAATTTTCAGTGTCAAAGTAGAAAACACATGTTCACAAGATGCAAGTAAATTACTGTCCTTTTCAAAACATCCACCAAGTGGCTACTAAGCCACTTACAGAATCATGAGGAAGACAGTTTTCCAAAAAGCCAATAAATCCCAGAAATAGGAATCCAGCTATCAAGCTATAATTACCACCCCAAACTCGGCTGTCTAAGCAGGGAGTGTAGGAAGCCCAGTTCCTATAGGTGATTAGAGAAGACCTGAATGTTCAGAAGGTTGGGGCCAGAACCATGGTGCTGTCTGTCCACAGGTTCAGAGAACATTCATCTGGGACTAAGCTGGGCTCTTTCCTATTCCAGCAGAGGAGATGAAAACACACACTGTTGGAATCAGCCCCGACTGTCCTTGCCCACACAAGGCAGGAGAGCAAAGGGAGAAAGTGGAGAACAAAATGGGGCAGACAGCTCTGACTCCGACTCTCCTCCCCAGGCGAGCAGGAGGGGGCCCCGAGCCAGATCCACTCATTCTGCACTTGGTTCTACACCAGTGGATTCAACACGCCATTCAGAAACATCAAGTGACCCACGGGGCTTGTGGGACTAAAGTCTTTTAAAATGTATTGTCAATTTCTATTTGGAAAGTGGAGGGTCAGAAGGACACTGGGACGTCTGGTCGGTCACAGAGTGGAAGGCCCTCCACAGGGAACTGAGGGAAGAGCAAGCAGTGTGTGGCCACATCAGGCTCTCAGTGTCAACAGGGCTGGGACTGTCCCCAGCTACAAAGGAGAGTCCTGAGAGGGCTCCAGCAAAGTCAGCCTTCCTGGACAGTCTCAAAGTTTAACTCTTGACCCTCTCCCTAACTTAAAGCTTGGGGAAGAAAATAAATATTCACTTTATAACTATCCACAGTTTGGGCATATTATAATATTTAATCTACTATAGTTTGCATTTCTGAACCTTTGGCATATAATTTTATCAGAATTATGTTACATGGAAAAAAATGTGTGTGCCTTAATCAGTAGTACCAAAGAAAAATATCAACCCTGTCCTTCCTTCTCCACAGGAAGAGTGAATATATGGCACCCTAAATATCTCGCAAGGTTTCTTTGTGTACTTGACAGAAGATTAGGGCAAACATTCCATTCTGTATGTTGAGCAGAGGAATGAACTAGTCTTCAATTTCATCTTCCCAAACGTCCCCGTTAACATCCACGGCGTGGAACAGTCTGAAAGCATAAAACAGGTACATGCTTATGCAGCTGCACAAAACTGAGCATAATCTCTTTCCTTCTTTCAAAACACTCTATTCTTCTGAGAACACCTCTGCGTCAGTTTTCCTCTTTAATCATTTCTTTAAGGAGGGCTGAAATCTAGGTCTTTCTAAACAAGCTGCAATACGTTTGTAAGAACAGTACTGGCCAGCTGGGCGTGGTGGCGCTTGTCTTTAATCCCAGCACTTGGAAGGCAGAGGCAGGAGGATCTCTATGAGTTCAAGGCCAGCCTGGTCTACTTAGGGAGTTCCAGGACAGCCAGGGGTATACAGAAAGTTCCCCATTTGAAAACAAAACAAAGCCGGGTGGTGGTGGCGCACGCCTTTAATCCCAGCACTCGGGAGGCAGAGCCAGGCGGATTTCTGTGAGTTCGAGGCCAGCCTGGTCTAAAGAAAACAAAACAAAACAAAAAACAGGAACAAAAAGTAAAAAAAAAAAAAAAAAAAAAAAAGCCAGTAATGGTCACTGAATCTGCAGCCTCTTGCATGCCAGGAAGCTGCCACTGAGCTGTCCCCAATCCCTCTTTCCACTTTATGTATAAACTATGGGGAATGGGCATCACCAAAAACTGGTAATGTGTACGGTCTGCGAAATAAGTCGAGAGTGGGGAGTCATGCAGTCTGGAAGAAACTGAACTCTTCCAGGAAACAAGCAGGCACGTGTATTTTCCCATGCATGCTCTTGCGTCCTCCATTGGTGGCATGCTGTTGTAGGGGCCTTTGGCTTCTTTCCCTTATAGTCTCTAAAGCCGGTGCCATTTCCAGCACTAGCTTGCAACAGTTCACAGCAGGACTAAGTTCTTCAGTTTCTCTTAGACTTTTCTAACACTGATGAGTGTAGGTTCTCTACAGAAACCAATGGAGAACACTGATAACCTTGGAGAACTGTTGAACAATAATCCACACTGTGTCAAGAATCTCCTTATCTAATAACAAAAGTGAAAACATAGCTTGCATGCATTAAATGATAGCACACTAACGGGAACAGCCTGACCATGGTTCTCCCACTGGGGTACCACATGCAGTACATCACATGAAATATCCTTGCCAGGTAGTGGCAGTGCATGCCTTTAATCCCAGGGCTTGGGAGGCAGAGGCAGGCAGATCTCTGTGAGTTCGAGGCCAGCCTGGTCTACAAAGTGAGTTCCAGGACAGCCAGGTCTACACAGAGAAATCCTGTCTTGGAAAACAACCAAAAAATGTGAAAAACAATTTTTTTCAAGAGGTGTATAATCTGATCATAAACCCATTTTCAAGAAGATTTAAAAATCACGTGTAGGAAAAGAGTTTCCAAGTCTAGCTACTTCAGGGGGAAAAAAGCTGGTATTTAGAAAATAAACTAGCCTGCATAATGGTATCAAAACATGTTGCAGATGGACTAACTAGAAAGATGGTTGAGAACGCCTGCTGTATAATCATGAGGACCAGAGTTTGGATCCCAGCACTCAGGTAACAAACCAGGCTCACTGAAAGTATCTGTACTTTCAGCTCCAACTCTGAAAGACGGGACACCCTCTCAGGCCTACCACGCATGCACCGCTAATCCAGGGAACCCGGCGTGCACACACCTGTTAAAGCATGGGGACTCGGGATCAGTGAAGTGTTTGTAAGGGTTGGCTCTGGAGAGAGAACCCATGCAGATCCAGCAGAAGTACTGCATACAGCCGGTGCAGGTCATCTTGTTACAGCCATCCAGCTTCTGGTGGGAGGAGACAGGAAGCAAGGTGGTGAAGCAGAAGAGGAGGCACGAGCCACACAACACACAACACTCCTAGTCTTTTGTCCTTTCCCAGGCAACATACACAGCGACAGCCATCTACACAAGTCTGCGCTGAAAGTAAATACGAAGTACTGAGCAGGAACTCCTACAACTAGATACTTAGCACAATCTCCTCTCAGAAATACAGACAGAATGAGAGGAACACTTAACTAGATAGAGAGTAAAATGTTACTTTATTCTCAGTACTAGACACAGAATCTAGGTTCTTTTACACGCTAGGCACTCTACCATTAAGTGATGTCCCTATCCCTTTCTACTTTTTATTTTTCAGACAGGGTTTAAGTTGTTCACCCTGGCCCTGGCAATCCTCCTGCTTCAGTTTCCCAAGTGGCTGGGATTACAGACTGAGCAACCAGACTGGATTAAATTTTAACTTTCTATACAAATCACAATTAATAAGTGTAATCATATCTGATTTCTATCATAGGGCTCAGGCACGGCAGAAGTGGTCAACTATGATACCACTTTCCTTAATGATGTAACTAAGGAATTATCAGTTTCAGTCACAATGTGCAGGACTGGAAAAAACAAAATCAAATGGAAGACTACATTTTCATTTTAAAATCCACTAAGATTTTGGTGAGAAGAAACAGATTTGTCTATTTGGCTCAGATTAATGGGGAAAATGTCTCCAGTTCCTCAGCACATATTTGTTAAATACATTTGCTATTTTGAAGGATAAATAGTTCTGAAAAGTCAGTTATGATTTTTTTTCTGAGACTGAGTCTCATGTATCTATGTTGGCCTTGAACTTGCTTTGTAGCTCTGGGTGACCTTGAACTTCTGATTTTCCTGCCCCCACCTCCTAAATTCAAGGACTACTGTGTGGTGGTATTTTACTTGTACTGAAATGTGATTTTAATTGTATGTTAATAAATAAAGTTGCCTGGGGGTCAGAGCTATTAGAGCCATAGCAAGAGCATGGCGGTGGTGGCGCACGCCTTTGATCCCAGCACTTGGTAGACAGAGCTAGGTAGATCTCTGTGTGTTCAAAGATACAGCCAACATTGGAGACACACGCCTTTAATCTCAATACCATAGAGGACCTGGAGGGCTGTACATACAGGCAGTGATGAAGCAGTCATGTGTTTGGGTTTACAACCAATAAGAAGGCAGGACAGTCTATATAAAGACAAACAGACAGGAAGTAGGCCCCTTTTTTCGGAGAGCTCTCTTGGCTGAAGCAGGAAGGGTAAGGCTCTTAGTTCTGACCTCTTGGCTTTCTTCTCTGAATCGGCTCTGTGTTTCTTATTTAATAAAACGGTTGGTTACATCTACACTACTGATATGCACTTTCACGTCTAGTTTGTTGTACTGGCGACTGAACCCAGGACTTCATGCATTCTAGACCAGTACTCTACCAACTGAGGTACATCCCCAGCCCCAGATAAGGCTCTTTAAAAACAGAGCTAAGACGGGGGCTGGAGAGATGGCTCCTTTGTTAAGAGCACTGGCTACTATTCCAGGGGATCCAGGTTTAATTCTCATCACCCACATGGTGGTTCACAACCACCTGTAACTCCAGTTCTGGGGATCCAAAGCCGCCTTCAGGCCTCTGCAGACACCAGGCATGCACGTGGTGCACAGACAGTCATACACACAGAATAAAAACAACCTTAAAAACCACACGGATTAAGAGCTGACTGTAGCACTTGTGTGGTCTTGTTCTAACCTGCTACTGTCCCTTTCGAAACCCGTATTGGGAATGTAATCCCCACTGTGGGATATTAAAAAGATGGGATCTAGCCAAGTGGTGGTGGCTCACACCTTTAATCCCAGAGACAGAAGCAGGCAGATCTTTGTGAGTTCGAGGGCAGCCTGATCTACAGCTAGTTCTAGGACAGTCAAGACTACACAAAGAAACCTTGTCTTGAAAAACCAAAAGAAGGAAAAAAAAAAGTGGGAACTTAACCTGAATATTTTATTTATTGTACTTAGAAGTAGGGCCCTTGGGAGAAGATGAGGGGAGCTAAGGTCATCGGGCTGGAGCCCCATCATTGGACACTGGTGGCTTTCTATGGGATAGCACGACCAGTGGAGACACTACACACTGAGATGCTCTGCACTGTCTCAGGACAGAACCAGAACATAATCCAATGAGCTCTATAACCTACCTAGCCTTGGTATTGTTATTAGCAAAACAAAGTAGAATGGAACAACATCTATTCAATTGTGAGGTGGACACAATTTATGTGAGATAAATTGTCTTTCTATAAAAACACTTTGAATAGAGAAGCCTATGTGCACTTAAAGTCAGTAACAATATTTACTAGTGAAATTTGATTTTCCAAGTAAGAAGGCTGGGCTGGTACCCAAATGTGTTTTCTCCATAATATAACTGTTAGGATTCTGTCACTCCAGCTATATGACCACACATGCACAGTTCAGAAGCTAAGCAAGGGGTCTTATATCTTATGTCATCAATGTGCTGCATGACTACATAATGCATGTAGTGTGGTCACGCAATCAGCGCATGCGTGGCGTAGCTCTGTAAGCCCACCTGCGCATATGCAGGGGAATCCTTAAAAAGCTGGACACAGAATCCTCCCCTCTTTCTGCTCTTTCCTCCCCACCACTCTCTCTCCCTGCATGTGTCTCTTCCCGGGCCACGCTCTCTTCTGTCCCCTCCCTTCCTCCTAATAAAGCGATGATACTGGGTTTTGTTGTGGCTTGTGACCTTTCTCGCACGGTAACAGTGCTTCTTATTATTTATTTAAAACCAACAATAGGGCTGGACAGATGGCTCAGAGGTTAAGAGCACTGGCTGCTCTTCCAGAGGTCCTGAGTTCAATTCCCAGCAACCACATGATGGCTCTCAACCATCTGTAATGAGATCTGGTGCCCTCTCCTGGCCTGCAAGCATGCATACGCTGTATACATAATAAATAAATAATTAAAAAAAAAAACCCAACAATAACTATTATAATTAGCCAGTGGGCTTCTGAGGGAAACTGTGCTCCAAGTCCGTCCTACGGCAGTCACCTGTATGGGCGTCCCACAGCAGGGGCAGCTCTTGGAGTTCTTTTCCAGCCAGTCTTTACTTTCCATCTCTTCCAGGGCCTTCTGAATCACCCTCTTGCCATACCTCTGTTCCAAGAACCTTTTAGTAGTTTCATCTGCTTGTAGGTATTCATTTCGTAAGTCTATTAATTTCTCTAGAAAGTACAATAGAAAATTAACTTTGTTACTTTGCAATGTTAACTAAAAACACTAAAAATGGCCATAATGGACATAGCGGTACACAGTTTTAGCTCCAGCACTTAGGAGGCAGAAGCAGGCAGATCTCATTGAGTGAACTTGGAAGGCCGGCCTGGTCTACATAGAGAGTTCCAGGTTAGCCAGAACTATATAATGACCCTGTCTTGAAACAACAGCAGCAACAACAAAAACCATAAAAAAAACCCACCCAAAATATTTAAATATAAAAAACTTAGGGGGGCACAAAAAGGGGCAATGGAATAACTATGACCAAAACATATACATGCATAAAAATTTGAAAATGAAATCCATATTGTGTATAATTAACATGTCAATAAAAACCGTAAATGTATTGTGAGTGAAAATATGAACAATCTTCTGTAGTTTAGATCTGCATATCAGATAAAGCTTTCAACATGCTGAAAAAAACAACACACACAAACCGACTTTTAACTGGCATGGCTACTATTCAATCCAAATACTCACAGTATACTTACACGACAAGCAGGTAAAGGTTATGCACGCAAGCGGCAGGCAGGCTCCGCCCACGGAGAGTTGGACTGGCTAAGGGGCAAGCGGGCTCCGCCCACAGAGAGTCGGACTGGCTAAGGGGCAGGCGGGCTCCGCCCACAGAGAGTTGGACTGGCTAAGGGGGAAGCAGGCTCCGCCCACGGAGAGTCGGACTGGCTAAGGGGCAGGCAGGCTCCGCCCACGGAGAGTTGGACTGGCTAAGGGGCAAGCGGGCTCCGCCCACAGAGAGTCGGACTGGCTAAGGGGCAGGCGGGCTCCGCCCACGGAGAGTCGGACTGGCTAAGGGGCAGGCGGGCTCCGCCCACAGAGAGTCGGACTGGCTAAGGGGGAAGCAGGCTCCGCCCACGGAGAGTTGGACTGGCTAAGGGGCAGGCGGGCTCCGCCCACAGAGTCGGACTGGCTAAGGGGCAGGCGGGCTCCGCCCACGGAGAGTCGGACTGGCTAAGGGGCAGGCGGGCTCCGCCCACGGAGAGTCGGACTCACTAAGGGGGCAGGGTTTCCTTTGACTTTCATTTCTCAACACTGGCTTGTTTATGTAGCTGGCAACATTCAATGAAACTGTCTTGTCAAAAAGAACAACGAGCCGGGCGGTGGTGGCACACGCCTTTAATCCCAGCACTCGGGAGGCAGAGCCAGGCGGATCTCTGTGAGTTCGAGGCCAGCCTGGGCTACCAAGTGAGTTCCAGGAAAGGCGCAAAGCTACACAGAGAAACCCTGACTCGAAAAACCAAAAAAAAAAACCAACGAGTTCGTGCAGTTCAGGGGCAGTGTTTGCCAAGGCCCTGAGGTTAGTCCCCAATACCACGCCATACCAAAATCTGTAAGTGGTAGACACTGATTCTACACTACTTAAACATCAAGCATCACAAAACTCTACAAGTTGATAATTTGACAAACAAAAATAGTGACTAAAATTCACTTTGTTACATGTGTTGAAAGCTCTTCCTGGGGTGGTTGAGATGGCTCAGTGGGTAAAGAAGCTGGCCGCCAAGCCTGATGACCAGAGCTCAATACCCAGGTCCAGACGGTGGAAGAACCAACTTCCACAAGTTTTCTTCTCACCAAGGTATGAGTGTGCTTGCCACCGCCAAAAATAAAGTAATCACTGTGATTTTTAAAGCAGTTCTTCCTTGAGGCTGGAGAGAAGGCTCAGCAGTTAAGAACATTTGCTGCTCTTCCAGAGGACCTGGGTTTTGTTTCTAGCACCAACATCATCATGAGGCTCAAACAACCTGTAACGCCAGCTCCGGGGGAATCCAATGCCCTCTTATGGCCTCTATAGGCACTGTACTTACATGTACGTACCCACACATACAAATAAAAATAAATTTTAAAAAAGTTCTTTTCTCTTTTTTCTCCAATATTCTTTGAGAGCCAGATCTAGCAGAATTGTAGGCATAGCAAAAAGGCTGAGCAGGAAGCTCCCCCACTCCTGACCTCCTGACAGCCTCTCACCTTTTGTCCTAGCTACAGAGAGCGAGCCATGAACTCTTCACCCTACAGGGAAGACCCAATCAAAGGCAGCGACTGCTTCTGACCTTTTGCCCTAGCTAACACCCCATGGAAGGGTCAATCAGAAGCCATGAACACCTCGCCCCATAGGAAAGGGCCTATCAGGAGCCATGAACACCTCCAATCAGAAGTGGAGAGACAACTCCCGGTGCTGAAGCTACAATGTTGCAACTCCCTAGACCCAAGAGAGCCAATCAGCTCAGTCCAGGTATTCCTAACCAGGGCTTGAGCCAATCCCAGGTCTGTACTGAGCGGTCTTGGAATTCCCCCCAGCCCTCCCCTTTGTCTACCGAGCTACTATAAACACCCTCGCCCTGTGCTGCTCCAGGTCTCTCTCCTGCTCTGCTGCTGGGTCAGTTGGACTAAGAGAACCAAGTTAACGGTATTAAAAACTTTGCTTTTGCATCAGATTTCATCTCTTGGAGGTCCTTTGGGGATCCGAATTTTAGGCACAACTGCTTTACCACTTAAATGGATTAGGCATCCATTTCCAAAGGTTCCAACAGCAGACAAAAGCTTTTGTTCACAATTGTATTCCCTTAATTTTTCAATACAACTGAAGACCTTCATAAAAGTTCTAGTAATTTAATTCATTTTTATTTGGGGGATACGTGTGTAGTGTGTGCACGGAGAGTGCAGAAGTGTGTACCTGTGCACATGAATGTGAAGGCCAAAAGACGACACCGGTATCTTCCTCTATCGCTCTCTACCTTACTCTTTTAAGACACTGAACCAGAAGCCTGCCATTTAGGCCAAGATGGGGTTTCAGACATGTATGGCCATGCCCAGAGTTCTACATGAGTGCTGGTTCTGTGTTGGCAAAGCAAGAACTCTCACCACTAAGCCGCCTCCCCAGCCCTGCTCTTGTTACTGTATTAGCCTGCTTCCCTCATATTACTTAGAGGTCTGTTCCTTTCAAGCAACAGACACCTTCTGAGGTAGACCATATATACTCTTTCTCTTTTCAACCTGTAAATTCTTAAGTTATTGTGCAGTCCTGTGGCACCACCACTGTATTTTGATATAACAGACATCTTTCTCATCTCTCTAATAATTCAAAGCATTTTTGTGTTTTTAAATATCTTGAAGACAGAAATTTATTGCTCAATATTCTCTAACTCCTATTTCATTCTCTCTCTCTCTCTCTCTCTCTCTCTCTCTCTCTCTCTCTCTCACTCACACACACACACACACACACACACACACACACACACACACACACAGATTCCTAATTCTGCTGAACCCCCAAGCCTACCTGAACCTCTCCTAACTTGTGAACCATCGCCCTTCTCCACCACCAGGATTAGAGAAGTAACGACCAACACCGTACTTCAGCATACCCTGAGGTATGAACCACCGTAACACTTCAGGCTACCAGACTCTGCCCTGCATCAACTGGAACCGCTGGCTCACTCTCCCCTAAGACATTTCCTTGTAAACACAGGCAGTCTGCTGGCATTACCAATCAGTGACTCTAACAGCATCAGCAGTTCCACTCTGCATTTCCTGCATATTAGCCCACTGTTTCTCACATCACCCAGGATGAAAGATCAGTCCTCCTGTTGGGAAACAATCCTTTTGCAAAATACAACAGAAGGAATTTCTAGAAAGATTAACAACAACTAAAGACTTAAAATTTGTTATTAGATTTGAGTCACTCTGAAATTGCTGTAAGTTTTTAACTCTTTCAATATCTGTATCTACCTTGTCCCAGACTCACACTACAACCTAACAGCAACTCTGCATGGTACTTTCATTATTTCTCTCCATTTTCAAACCCCTCTGGAATATTCTCATCACCTTCATTAACCTGAGAAGACTCAGGACACCAACGACCAGTCAACTTGACAAAAAGGGCCTGATTCCCCAGACCCTACACACATTACAACGGGCAAGCATGTTTCACCTCCTACATTCACTCCAACCCAGGTGGCTCGAGAAGAGAGCATCTGAGGACCGAGCAGACACAGGTGCCCAAGAGCAAGGGTGGCAGTCTGGATGCCTGCAGCTGCCATCCAGGACCTGTGTTACTCCACACGCACTGGCAGATTCCACATGCTGGTCCTTTTCCCAGGAGGCCTTCCCTGTCTGCATGGTTCTGCTGGCTTCCAGTGAAGCCGCCCTGGTTTCTTAAATACATGCCTAAATCCTCTTCCCTCAGAACACTTCCTAACCTGCCCTCACTTTCTTTTTCCTCCTTAGCACTTACCACCCCTTACTCTCTGTACTTTGTTGTCCCCACTAGACAAAGTAAGCGCTAAATGAGTATTTCATCCAGCACTCGGCAAGATGTGTAGGTACATCTGCCTGCCATCGGGCTCAGGGGACGCTGGAGCAAAAGTTGGTCGTAACTGGCATGCAGCTCTACTTCAGGTAACTCTCTGACTTGGAGACAAATATAAACACGACAGGTGTGAGGACTCAATGTGTGAAGGGAAGTCACAGGCCTTGGTGAGGAAGGGCTACTAGTTGGGGGTTGGGCTCACAGTCGTCACAACATACCTGCAGTTACCTTACATGGAGAGACCCCGTGATAGGTCAGTCTGCACAAGGTACAGAAGGCGAAATTGCAGCTGGAGCAGATAGCCATGGTGCCGCCAGGCTCCTGCATCACAGGGAGCTGGCAGCATGGACGGGGGCAGTAGACCACATCTGCCATTAGATCCAAGGTAGACTGGAGAAGGAGGCGGTCGTAACGGGCAAATAAGTCAGCTTCCACCAGCTCTTTGACCTGAGAGGAAACACAGAGCATCTTAGGTTTGACCATTTCCCAACTAGTTCTTATTCTGAAAAGAACCTTAGGTTGCTGATATAAAATAGAGAGGTGTAAAATTCAAACCCCTATTCTCAGTTCAGAATCAAAGCAGGTTTGGCAATAGTTTATATCCTTTTCATTTATTGAGCAAGGGGTGGGGCATGGTTGAGACAGGCTTTCCTATATAATCCACTGGCTTTGAATTTTCAGTAATCCACCTTCCTCAGCCTCCCATGTCCTGCTCTAACAGTCTATCCCGACTGAGGCTGTGGTTGCATGGGTCCACACACTGGTCAAAACTAAGGCTGGCATGGTGGTGCAGGCTTTCAGTCCTAGCACTTGGGAGACAGAAGCAGGCAGATCTCTGAGTTCAAGGCCAACCTGATCTAGAGAGAGAGAGTTCCAGGACACCCAAGACTACAGAGAGAAACCCTGTCTTGAAAAACAAGGGTTAGAGAGATGGCTCAGCGATTAAGAGCAATGGCTGGTCTTCCAGAGGACCTGGGTTCAAATCTCAGCACCCACATGGCAGATCACAGCTATTTGAACTCCAGTTCTAGGGGATCTGACACCCTCATATAGACATACACGCAGGCAAAATACCAATGCATGTGAAATAAAATTTAAAAATTAAGAGGTAGAACAGAAATCTGCTTGTACATGTGTATGTGTGTGTGCATGTGCCCACATATGTCCGTGCATGTTAAAAGACAACCTGAGGAAGTTGGTTCTCTCCTCCTACCATGTGGTGTCCTAGAGGTCAAACTCAGGTCATCAGTTTTGTGGCAGGTTCTTTTACCTAATGAGCCATCTAACTGGCCCTGGTTTTGATTTTTGAGAGATCTCATGCAGCCCAAATAAGCCTTGAATTTGCTACACAGTTAAGGATGACATTGAATACCTGATCCTCCTGCCTCTACCTCTGGAGTACAGGATTATACCCAGCACTGGACACTATACCCATTTTATAGCATTCTTAATGGATACAATGAAATGTCTTATGGACTGCACCCAAGGACTTAGTCAATACCTTGAGTACTATCAAGAAAGTTTGTGAGTATGGGGGTGTGGCTTAGTGGGAGAGGGCTTGCCTAGCATGTGTGAGGTCTGGGATTGATCCTCAACACTGCAAAATAAATACATTATTAATTAATTAGCATTCCTGTGGCAAGTGTGGTAGATACACCTACAATCCCAGCATATGGGAAGTTGAGGCAGGAGGATCATGAGTTTGAGTCCAGTCTGGGCTATATAGGAAGATCCTGTCTCAAAAGGAAACAAAAGGAAAGTCCCCAAGAGGTTTCCCTTTGTGAAAAGGACTAGGAGGCCATGTGGCATTGATGGAGTGACGTTACCTGACCAGGAGTAGCCACTGAAGAGCACTTTGGTTCTGGACAATTGAGGCATTTAACTTGGCCATCTTTGATCTGGATTTCAAAGTAGTCCTTCAGACAGGCTTTGCAATACACATGTCTACATTCCAAGAAGTACATGCACTCACTACCCAGCTTCTCGCAGAAACAGATACTGCACAGGAACAATTTGCTGTTGAAGCTCTTCATCTGCTGAGCTTGATTGAAGTCCAAGATTTCCTGGATCAGACTTGACAATGATTCTACATCCTGCACAGCTCTCTCATCCACAATTTCTTCTTGGTCTACACCGGCTCCAGCAGCTCCTCCAAAACCTAGCTCTGTGCTGGAAGAGGCCTGAGCCGTCGTCCTTCTCTGGGCTTTTTTCTGAGACCCCATCTTAAGCTCAAAAGGAGAGACAATATTCAGGTAGGTGAGGGTCTCCTCCTTAAGAAACTGCATCCAGGCGAACAGCACCACACTGCCTCGGTGTTCTTCCCACAGGTTGTCTAGGTGCTTGCAGAGAGCAGAGAGCTAGGAGGAAGAACATGAGGATGCTGAGTTTGGAAAGATGATGATGATGTACCAACTTCTGATCTTCCTAAGGCTCTCTGAAACATGTTAGTATAACTTCCTGACACTACTTTTTCTTAACACCATAATAGTACCAACATTCTCACCGAATCATTTCTTAAACTATTCAGCGACAGTGGCCGAGTAAAACATAAGTTGGAATCTAGAAGAAGTAGCACAAAGACAACAGAAATGCAAAATGCTGCAGGATACAGAACCAGATTGCTACCCAGCTCCTGAAATAGACTTTTAGCATCACTCTGTATCACATGTGTTAGAAAGGAATGTCATTCTAACAGGAAATGTTTCTCTTGGGTGGTGCTGGCACACATCTTTAACCCCAGCACTGGGGAACCTAGCACACAACCACTGAGTACCTCTGTCCCCCTCCTTGTAGAGTGTGATAGGATGCCTCAGTGCAGTGTCCACCCAGGATGTCCCACAGTGCAACTCTCCAAACTGTGCAGCATGCCCCAAAAGACCTGGAGATGTGCTATCCGTCTAGACACCAGAACTTAACATCCACTTCACGAAGGAAAGATACTGCCGGGCAGTGGTAGTGCACGCCTTTAATCCCAGCACTCAGAAGGCAGAGGTAGGCAGATCTCTGTGAGTTCGAGGCCAGTCTAGTCTACAGAGTGGGTCCCAGGACATTCAGGGCTACAAAGAGAATCCCTGTCTCGAAAAGCCAAAAAAAAAAAAGGAACTATTTCTCTTTGGGAGCCCTACCCTTCCTTATAGGTGATCTAGAATTGTAATTTAAAAAAAGGATGGTGTATAGAAGCAATCCAGGCCCTGCAAGGGTCTCAAAGCACTTCTTTCTGAGTAGTAAAATTCAATGATTACCTGTGTTCTCTTCTCCCATACCCTTTCTGTTCCTCTTTTGGATTAATTGTACTTACTTCCTATAACAAATATGTTCAACAGTAATTTGTGAGGCATATATGAAATAGTAAATGGGCTGAAACAAAAAGAAAAATAAATGAAAATAAAAAGTTTCATTCAGAGCTGGGGACATAACTCAATGGTAGAGTGCTCGCTTACCTAGTCCACAGAAACAACAAACCAAAAACATCCAAGAAAGGACAGCATCTTCAACACATGGAGCTGGGAAATTGGATATTCACACTCAAAAGAGCCAAACTAAATGCACAGCCCCAACACATACACACCAGTTACAAAATCATCCCAAGACTGAGGAAGCTTTTTTATCAAACTGAGGAGCCTCTGCAGAGCAGAAGAAAAACTGAGTGCAGAGACTACCTACCAGGTGGGAGAAGAGTCACAGTGCATACAACACCTGACGAGGGCTGATGCTTAGCATATATGACAAACTCCAGAAGCACAAGTCCCCAAAACACTCTGTTCTTCTCTCCTTTGGCAGTACTGGGGCTGGAATTCAGGGCAGACGCTCTGTCATGAGCTGGAGTTCTTAACCTTCTTTTTACTTTTTATTCAGAGACAGGATCTTGCTAAGTTGCCCAGGTTTGATGTAATATATATATATATATATATATATATATATATATATATATATATATATATATATATATGTGGCTGGGCATGGTGGTGCATGCCTTTAATTCCAGCATTCAGGAGCTCTCACAGAGGCAGGCAGATCTCTTGAGTTTGTGGAGAGAGTCTGGTCTACAAAGCAAGCTCCAGGACAGCCAGGGCTACACAGAGAAACCCTGTCTTGAAAACAACAATATGTATGTGTTTATTCTGTATGTAGTTATGTGTAGGTATGGATATGCACACGCCATGGTCTGTATGTGGAGGTCAGAGGACAATTTGCAGGAGTCAGTTCTCTCCTTCCACCATACGGGTTCCAGGGATCAAACTCAGGTCATCAGGTCATTTTATAGGGCCAGCTCTTAAACTTTTGATGTTCCAGCCTCAGCCTCCTGAAGAGGTGGGATCAAAGGCTACTACTGGTTCAAACGATCTGATATTTAAGTAGGCAGATGAGGACCTGGGGTATTGTTCAATGGCAGAATGCATACACAGCATGCACAGGGCCCAGGGTTTACTCCCCAGTACCACTCTCAATACAAACAAGGGCAAGACCTAACAGACAGTTCTCAAAGAAGACATCCAAGGGCCAGGCAAAGCTCATGCAAAAATGCTCAGTCACCGATCGGGGTGATGTAAAACCCAGCCACAGTAAGGTATCACCTCACTCTAGTACAAATGGCTATCTGCAAAGACAAGTGCTGGCAGGGATGTCGAAAAAGGGAACTAACTCGTGGTATACTGTTGGTGAGAATGTAAATTAGTGCCTCCTCTGTGGGAAACAGTACAAAGGTTCCTCAAAAGAATCAAAACCACAGCTACAACGTGATTCAGCAATCGCACCACCGGGATATCTACAGAAAATGAGATCATGTGTATCTTACCCACTCCTGTATTGCAGAGCTATTCACTATTGCCAAGGAAGGAAATGACTTACTTAAACATCCATCAACAGCTAGGTGGGTAACAATGAAATACTGTCCATCTATAAAAGGGAATACAATCCTCTTTTTTGCAATAACATGGATAAAATTGGGAATCACCGTGTTAAGTGAAATGAGCAAGGCTCAGGAACACAAGCACTGAGTGGTTTTGTTCAGATATAGAATATCAAAAAGTTGGCTGGGTGGTGGTGGCACATGCCTTTAATTCCAGCACTTGGGAGGCAGAAGCAGGAGGATCTCTAAGCTCGAGGCCCAGTATGGTCTACAGAGTGAGTTCTAGGACATTCAGGGATACACAGAGAAATACTGTCTTGAAAAAAAAAGAAAGAAAAGAAAAAAGAAAAAAAAAAACCTCAGCTAGGCAAGGCGGGATACACCTTTAAGCAGAGGCTGAGGTCAGCTTGAACTACATGAAATCCTGTCATTTTTCTTTTCTTTTCTTTTTTAAAAAGGGGCAGAGGGACTAGAGAGATGGCTCAGCAGTTAAGAGCACTGGCTACTCTCCCAGACCCAGGTTTGTGTTGATGGGTGAGCATAGCTGCCTTCCAGAAGACCCAGGTTCAGTTCCCAAAACCTACATGGTGGCTCACAACCATCTGTAACTCCAGTTCCAGGGAATCTGATGCTTTCTTCTGGTCTCTGTGGGCACTGCATACATGCGGTACACAGACATACATGCAGGCAAAACACTTACACATACAAAACACATAAAATAAAAAAAATTTAAATAAATAGAAGACAAAAGTAAACACAAAACAATTCATTTTACAGAATCTGAGAGCAGAGGTGGGACAGGGAAGGGAGGGATGTAGGAAATTGACCAGTGCTTATTAAGTCACAGTTACAGAACCAAGAAGTCCCATGTGCACATAGTAGGGATGGAGGAGAACTGAGCAGTGCTTACTAAGTCACAGTTACAGGACCAAGAAATCCCATGTGCACATAGTAGGAATGGAGAACTGACCAGTGCTTACTAAGTCACAGTTACAGAACCAAGAAATCCCATGTGCACATAGTAGGGATGGAGGAGAACTTAGTGCTTACTAAGTCACAGTTATGGAACAAGAAGTCCCAAGTGCACATAGTAGGGAGACGTTGGTAATAATGTGATAGCACAGGGTTGAAATCTAACACTTGAGAGGTAGAAATGGGGCAATTGTGAGTTTAAGGCCAGCCTCAGTTACACAGAGAGTATGAGGACAACCTAGACTACATAAATCCCTGACTAAAAACGCTAACCAAAGCCACCATATATTTCCAAGAGCTAGAAGGGGGAGGGAGTAAGTCTGAAGAAAGGATTTTGGGTGTTTTCACTATAAATAAATAGTAAAATGTTGGAGGAGATAAACACATTTGTCATTATTGTAAAAACATTGGTTGTCCAATCTTAAACATTATACATGTACACATATATCAAAATATCATACAACCCCATAAACATATTCAATTATATTGTCTACTAAGTTGAAATAAATTTAAATAAACTAAGTATGTTAGTGCACACCTATAAGGCCAGCACTTGGGAGGCAGAGCAAGATGATCAGAAGTTCAAGTTCATCCTCAACTTTATAATGAGTTGGAGACCAGCCTAAATTCTTTTAAATTGTTAAAACGAAAATACCGTTCAAAGTTTTAAAATTAATTCTAACTTCCAATCCTATTAAGGAGCCCAGTCAGCTGAAACGTCAACTTGTATAATTAACCCTGAGTCTTTTTTTTTCCATATTCGCAATAAGCTTTTCCCCTTTCAGTCAGGGGATTGAATCCAGGGCTCCATGCTTGGCAAGAAATACTCCGGCGCTCAGCAGATCCCCAACCGACAGGCTCACGGTATTCTTCTAACTAAGACATCTGGATCTACATCAAATCTGGATCACAGAGGGGAACAGACTGACACTGGCCCTGGGCATTCATTCCAGGCCCTGCACGTGTTTGGCTACCACAAAGAAAGCTCTCACTTCTAAACTAAGCCGTCAAAGTTAAACTATTTTGACCTTTCCATTTAAAAGTGGTCTGTTTCATCAGAAAGTCAAGTATAAGACAATTTCCCATCAGAAATGTAAAATATTTGTAACCAGAGCTCAGGAATGATAAGCTGCTTTTCTTTTTTTCAGGTAAACACCTAAAAACAAGCCTTCCAGATGGCAAGCAAATTTTGTAAATTAAATCCCAATGAAAAAAATACCATTTTCTGTTCCTTGCTCTGTGTAGTGCTTCTGACAATTCTGCATAAGCACTTACCTAAATACTTACTGACAGCTAAAGCTTTTTTGGATTTGCTTGTAGCTTATAATATGAACCATGCTTTTTAAGAAACCTGCTAAAATATGTAAAATGCAACAAATATTTACTTTTTGGGGTTTTGTTTTTGATTCCTTTGTTTTATGTGTATGAGCGCTTTGCCTGAATGTATGTATGTCCTGGTGCCCACTGAGGTCAGAAGGTATCAGAGCCCCTGAAGCTGGAGTTGCAGATGGTTGTGAGCCACCATGTGGGTGCTGGGAATTGAACTGGGGTCCTCTGCAAGAGCAGCAATGTTCCTCTCTAGCCCCAAAGTGGGTAACTATTTAAAGGGGAAGTTCTGCATGCCACGTAAGCAGAGTCTGGTAAAGACACATTCTTGGGGCTGGAGAGATGGCTCAGAGGTTAAGAGCACTGACTGCTCTTCCAGAGGTCCTGAGTTCAATTCCCAGCAACCACATGGTGACTCACAACCATCTGTAATGAGATCTGGTGCCCTCTTCTGGCCTGCTGTCATAATGCTGTATACATAATAAAAAAAAAAATAAAATCTTTAAAAAAAAAAAAGGAACATTCTATTCCCTTCTTCTCTAGTCCCATTTCAGAAAAGGCATGCATATAAATGTGAAATAGGGAATGGAGGGGAAGAAAGAGAGGTATGTATACTTGGGGAGTACAGAAAAACACTACATATACATAATTAGAACCACTTTCTGATTCTATCTCCCTACCCCAATTCAGTGAATGACTGGTCCATGTGTCAATTTCATGATTAGCAGGTAAAATTCACAATGCCATGGGTTAGGGGTATAGCAACAAAGATTGAACCAAGAAACACAACCAAATTAAAACATCAATTCTCTGTGTGAGACTTTATTTGATAAAGAATTCTACTATAATTTTATCTAAGGACAAAAGGTAATGAGCCCTTCCCTATAGTGCTCCCAAAGCTAGCATTAAGTAGACACTAGAATCTGAAAGTACATCATGCATCCAACTAATCTATCCCTTTCTGTGCATGTGTGTATGCAAGGACATGAAGGCATATAGAGTATCAATAACTCTGGAACTATGTGAGGCTCTAAATATCTGAAGAACTTGCCAGCCATCAGTGATCTAAAGTCACTCACGGTAGCCTCAACAGATAAGGCGCTGTCTCACCTACTGCCTCTAGCACATTATCACAATATCTTTCCTAGTCTATAAGCATGATCTCCGCTAAAATTTAACTTCCTTTTTAAGCTATAATCTTAATTCTTGTAAAGATACCTTTACACGCCGGGCGGTGGTGGCGCACGCCTTTAATCCCAGCACTCGGGAGGCAGAGGCAGGCGGATCTCTGTGAGTTCGAGGCCAGCCTGGTCTCCAAAGCAAGTTCCAGGAAAGGTGCAAAGCTACACAGAGAAACCCTGTCTCAAAAAAACCAAAAAAAAAAAAAAAAAAAAAGATACCTTTACGCAAAAGATTATATGGGGGGGGGGCACGACACACTGGAGAGATGGTTCAGAGGTTAAGAGCACTGACTGTTCTTCCAGAGGTCCTGAGTTCAATTCCCAGCAACCACATGATGGCTCACAGCCATCTGTAATGAGACCTGGTGCCCTCTTCTGGTTATACATACTGTATACATAATAAATAAATAAATCTTTAAAAAAATAAAAAATAAAAAAAAAGACTATATGGGGGAACAAAAACTATACGACACAAGCAAGGGCTGTTGCACACACATACTTCCAGCTCTCAGAAGGCTGAGGGAGGAAGATTCATGAGATTTAGCCCAGCCCGGACTATGTAGCAAAACTCTATCTCCAAAAATAAACATATCAAAACTATAGGACTAAAGGGAAAAACTAATGAGCTATTTCCTTGAGGTCAACAACTGACAGCTTTTGTCTTAATATCAACTTATCAATTTTCATAACTTCTAGAAAAGTAGCTATTGATCCATCACATCTCGGAACACCGTACTAGCGTCAAGTCATATTTACGTCTTAATCAAACACTGACATTGAAGAGAGGCACTTGAAGGCTCCAGACATAAATGATACAGAGGCAGACATGCTAATTACCCTGGTGTGATCAATACATGCTGTACACAATATCAAACTGAAATATAACAATGTGCTCCATCATAAATACATACAATATTACCTGTTAATAAAAGGAGGCGAGGTTATTAGAAAAGGACAACCAGCACACAGAGAAGGAAGGCTTTCAATATAAGGTCTCAAGCCTTAGAAAGTATCTAAAGAACTACACACATTTCTATTTATGTGCATTTACAGCTAAGTGATACTAAGTGACAATTATCCATTATTAATACACAGATTTTTATGGAGAAACATTTATTACATTTATTCAGGAAATTTGCTTATTATAGTTATTTAGCTCAATTTTCTGTTATAATTACAATTAAATCTTTCATTTAAGGAATGAATAAGAAACTGAGAAAATAATATCAGTATCTAATGAAAATGAGGACAACCTTATCTCTAGGAAAAGAAACAATACTCTTGATTAAAAATCATTGCTGTTGCAATTCATAAGGATTAATTAAGTCTGTGTACTGCCATTTCTTCCTTTCTCTTTCCAGTACTAAGGCTAGAACCCAGGGCCTTGCACATGTGAGGCAAGAACTCGGTAACTGAGTCGTAGCTCAGCCCTGCCAGTCTTTCTAAAAACATCAAGCATTTTCAATTCATTAGCATTAGGATTCATAAACACTAGGGGAAAATTTACAAAATCAAAGCCATTTGTTCTTTATGCACTGAATTAAAGATCACCAAGGTAGTCGTCAATTAAAGATGATTTTGAAAGTTTCTAAAAATGGATAGGAGAAATTAAGTTTTGGGTCTACCTGAGTTGGTGACAGCCATTTGCCACTAAGTGTGAATGAAGGTGGGGAGGAGGATGGATAATCTGGTGGCAGTTCAAAGTTCAGCACAAGTGGTGGCAGAAAGCAAATGGTGTATTCAAAGCCACTATTCTGGAGACACTCATTTGAATTGCCTGAACCAAAAACAAAAATCAGAAAGGATCAGTTGATCACCACTGGAGTGTCTGAAACTCCTGAGCAGTGCTCAGCCCTAATGCTTTAGTAGAGGGGATAAAAACCCTCCCCCAGAGCACCTCTATGCCTTAATGTTAGTTTCCTAGTCTTGCCTTCAAAAACAAAACAACACAACACCTTACAAGCCCTTGAAAAACCTACTTAGTTGCCATGTCATGTATGAAGTCACACAACTCTTTCTTGTAAACACTTCCTAGTCCAATTCCTAACACTAATGACAAAGTAATGCACAATGTTTTCATTGTTGGTTTATGGTAGACAATTAAATACACAATCTAGAGAAAAAGACATTTATTTCTATGAAAGAACCATGACTTACTAAACCAGCATATGCCAACTAGTCATGAATCAGTTGGGGAAGTTTGTGCCAACAGACTACTCTCAGGCTTGAGGACATAACACGGCACATAACACTCCCAGTCACAGGGTCATCTAAGAGATCACAGCTTCTAGGAGAAACATTGTGAGAAAATGTGCATCAAGTTCTCGGCAAATGGATCAAAAACAGTTTGGTTTTTCTCCAAGCAAAGGTGGCAGTGGCAGCAGCAGCAGCATGCCCCATACCTGTCCATGGCAGTTGTACCAATTCTAGAAACCACGCAGAAACAACCATGTGGCACTCTATGGTTCGCCAAGAATCCTCACAGCTGCACGTTATTATGTTTCCTTTGATTACTTCTAATTATCAATGACTGTGTTGATCAACTACTGATCAGGAGACTAAGCTGCATGAAATATGTAGGATATCTCAATTCAGTGGTCAAAAAGGCAGGATCAAATCGAACTGTTCTACCCCCCCCCCACATTTCCTTTTAAAGCAAACATGCATTAAACCTGTGCCACCCATATTTATCAATAACCCCTATGGCTATATACACAAGTGACAACTAAAACAGAGTAAGAAATCAAGAACAGTTTTTATTTAGAAAAATCTGTGTTAAGATATTCTTAACTAACCGCTCACAAATATCTTGAAATTCTGCGGCAGATCCAGATAGATCCTGGTTTCTCCACCTTGGACAGACTCTGCTTTTCTAAACTCATCTGCATCGTAAATACTCGCCAGGGCCAGTAGTTCATCCTCCTGGGCTTCCAGGTCTTCTGACGACATTGAATTTCCTGAGGATTGAAGCCAATCATTCAAATCAGCTAGGAAATGCACATAACTGGGGGGAGTCTCATGGCAGATGAAAGTCCCCCACAAACAACTGCCGAGGACTTATCAGTCCTCTCTGCTGCTCGACACCAGCATTCCGTGGTGTCTTCTTCCCTTGGGTGGCTGTGGTGCTTCCAATGACTAACCCAGGAAAACAACAACTGCTTTGCAGCTGCCCTCTCACCGCTACACCTTTGGAAACTGAAATGGAGGCTGGTCTCAAACAAAACAAAAGCCAGAGTGTATTTTGCACCTTCTAAAAGATGATGCTACAACAATCTGATCATCCATTTAAATGACTTCATTTTCTTTTCATTTTTTTCTAAACGTCCCCTTATCTGAAACAATTCCATTTTCAAAAAATACTGCTTTTCCTCAGCAGTTGTTACACTCTGCTTAAGCTTAGCCCTGTCTGAAACGGTGACATGTTCCATTTTAGGTCACTGAGTACCTGTTAGTAACAACCAGAAGAAAAGGATAGTAACAGTGCAGTCGGGATTTCAGTTCGGCTTGGAATTTGTGCAAAGCCCATTAAAGTTTCTAGCCAAGGGAGCTGAGACTGAAGTGGATAAGACACCAAGATGTGGGACTCAAATATACTACGGAAATTCTGCCATCTGCAAAAAAGAAACAGGAAAGATGTGAGGACACTCTCCAGGTTCAAGTTCCCCATCTGTACTTAAGTCAAACACTCAGGCAGTTATTACTCTCCAAGGACAGACTGAGTGGTTACAGGGCCACTGTATGTTCCCCAGTAATGACAGACACCTTATCAGACTGCCCTCAGCCCTGTAACTGAGGTGGTTCTAGGAGATGACAGAACACCACACCCAACAAACAGCATCTTAAATTTGGTTTTTGCTTTCTCCTTTCCTCTTCTCCCACCCCTCAAGCTTTTACTCACCTGCTCATAAATTAGCCTTGCAGGTGACATCGTTAACGATGAGGGTGGGATAGCGTTTTAAGGCAAAATATACACATGAGCTTGTAAGATTTCCTCTTAAGTATTTAGAGCCAGACTTCCAGGACTGGGGTTATAGCTCAGTGGGAGAGTGACCTCTAAACTGGAGTTCATTTCTGGAGAAGTGTGGTCCATAGATAGGTTATGGAGCATGAGTAACATCTTGAAATTATATGCAAAGGTGTTACCATAAAACTAACTTTAAAACCATATTCTCAGAAGTGACTGCCAAATAAGTTAGTGTCATAATTAGTTTATGATTATAGAGCACCAACTGTTTACAGTACTAGGTCCGATCACATTACCTTACTGAATCGTCAACAAACTGACCAGGAAGTAGCACACGGCGAGGATAGGATTAAGCCTTTTGTTTCTTTGTAAACAAAGAATTTCCAGACATGAGAGAGGTATTTACTGATTTCATGGTATGAGGTTAGCATTCTCCATTTTCCTTGCACATCAGAATCTCCTGGAGAAACTGCCTCTTAAAATTCCAATACCCAGACCATATTCCAGAACAATAAAGTCAGGACTCTACAGTTGTAGGGTTTTCCCCCCCATAACTTTTTAGACATCAGACTTCCAACGGTTTTATTGCAGCATTTTCATACATAATGTGCTTTTGTGGAAATTCCTCCTCTTTTCCTCATCTCCCTCCGTACCCATCCACCTTTAGCAGTCCCCTCCCCTTTCAGCATCCAGGTCACATGTCTTCTATTATCCCCCTCCTTTCCCGAAAACCTCTATCTCCCCTCTCACAGCCTCCTTTTTAGTTTCATAACCTATCCCCACAGTCACGCTCACTTCATGAATTTACATGTCATTCTGTCACAGAGGCCATGTTAATCTCTGCATCATTTCAGTCAGTTCATGTGCTGCCAAAGGGAGCACACGTCTAGTTTTCCAAGAAGTACAGATGATTCCAATATGCAGCCTGGTCTGATAATCTTTACTCCAAATAACACAGTCCTTTCTGACCTATTCCACCTGACCAGCTCAACCAGAAGGCTAGACCCAGGTGGCCCTTAATTCAGGTTGCTAGCTTTCACTTCCTCCTGATTTCACCCACTCAGCCTTTGAGGGCAACCTCTAAAGTCCCAAGTCCTTACACAGTAGTTTCCCAACAGACCCTCTCTTCTTTCAAATCGGACCTTGCACTTCCTCTTCTACTAACTAACCTGCATTCGTTCTTCAAGGGGCAGGCCCAAGTCTTTTTCATCTACCTACTGTTCTCAGCACCAAGCAGTGCCCTAAAGCACTCAGAAAATACCTGGGGTGAAATGCAATGTGCTGGAACGGAGGACCAGAGGCAGAGGACCACTTGATCACATTCCACTAGAAGCAGGAGGCTGGGTCCGTTGTCACAGTAACACTGGTAAGAACAGTAACAATTCGTGAGTTCTTACCGGGTGTCGGGCACTGCGCTAAGCCCTTTCAATGCACTAACTGACGCTAGCCTCCACAACCACGTGAAACAAGTCCTATTACTCTCTTCATTAATCAAAATGAGACAAATGACGGCTTGGGCTCTTTTCTGGACCATCTCTGGGCATAAGATGCCTAACTGCTTCACCTGTAAGCCGGGAACAAGAATAAACCCTGGCAACACCAAACAGATCAAAGTTTAATGATACTACTGTTGCAAACCGGAAGCCGCTCCAGCAGGGCCCTCCTCCGCCAGCTTTCCCTAGCCTGGGAAAATCCTACTCATCTTCCCGGCCACTCCCTGCAGGCTCCGGCTCTGGGGTCAGCCTGGGTCTCTCTCCGCCGCCTGCCAATCGCCATGCAGACGTTGTTTGTGTGACTCCCCAGCAACCCGGGGCAGAAATCAAGGCAGGGCCACAGGCCCAGCGCTGGCAACGGAGCAGAGAAGCCGGCCCCGGGGGCGTGCCGGAGGCGCAGGGCCCGTCCGCCCCGCCCCGCCCCGCCCCGCCCTGTCCTCTTGGCGCCCACGGAGCCGGCCGCCCCAGTCCCGGGCAGGGGAGCCCGGTGTCCGCAAAGCAGGCCCGGTCCGGCCACCCGGCTCTGCCTCGCGCACTCCCTAGAGCGTCCCCGCCGTACCTTCCGGCCGCCCCGCCGAGCCCGGCCCGAAAGTTCCGCACTCCACCCTCACCCGGGGCCCAGCGACAAGCTCGCGGCCAGGCCTGGAGACACCCGGCTCCACCTGAGCACCGCCTCTTCCGCTCCAGAGCTGTCAGCTGAGAGGGGCGGATGCCGGCGTGGGGAGGGCTCTGCGCAGCCGCCGTGAGCTGGCTCCTGGGCGCCCTCCACAGGCCGCGGACAGCGCTGCAGGCGCCGCCACCGACCGTGCCCGCAAGCTTCAAATACTCCGAATTTGGTACAAAAGCAGGTTCTGACCCGCGAATTCGAGTTTTTACCAATCCCTAGACGTGAACCTGAAGTGACGGTCTACCTAGGGGCAGAGATTCCCTTAACAATCAATCCCAGATCTGCCCCTTGAGGTGAATGGCTACATCCATCTTCCTATCTAAGAATTCATTAACTCACTGTGCATATGATCATAGTTACTACCGTGTTTGTTGAGCAGTTACAGGCTTCAAACCATATGTACATTTTCCCGCTCTTTACCAAACCTTATGGTTTGGGTTCTGTTTGCTAGTCTCATTTCACAAAGAAAATTGAAACTCAGGTTCAATAAGTTACCAAAAGCCACATGATTATTGACATTTAAAATTACATGCCTCCTACCTCACAGCATAATGCAAACATTAACTAAAACGCACCGAAGATTTAAATGTGAGAGGCAAAACTATAAAACTCTAGGACGAAATATAATGGGGAGGAGATCTTCAAGAACTCAAAGAAGGCAATAGTTTATATATATATAACATATATATATATATATATATATGAAACAGATAAATTGGATGTATCAAAATTAGAAACATTTGTGCTTTAATGAACGCTAGTAAGGAAGTGAAAAGACAGCCCACTCTATAGAAAATGTTTTCAAATTATACGTCTAATTAAGATGGATCACCTGGCCGGGCGGTGGTGGCGCACGCCTTTAATCCCAGCACTCGGGAGGCAGAGCCAGGCGGATCTCTGTGAGTTCGAGGCCAGCCTGGACTACCAAGTGAGTTCCAGGAAAGGCGCAAAGCTACACAGAGAAACCCTGTCTCGAAAAACCAAAAAAAAAAAAAAAAAAAAAAAAAAAAAAAAGATGTATCACCTAAAATGTATAACTCTTGTGAGCCCAAGTACGGTGGTACACATCTCTAATCCCAGCCCTGGGGAGACTAATGCAGGATGATTGAGTGTCCTAGGCCAGCTTGGGCTACACGAGGAAACACTGTCAAACTTAGTCGGACCAAAGCAAATAAAAAGAATTGATGGGGCCGGGCGGTGGTGGCGCATGCCTTTAATCCCAGCACTCGGGAGGCAGAGCCAGGCAGATCTCTGTGAGTTCGAGGCCAGCCTGGGCTACCAAGTGAGTTCCAGGAAAAGGCACAAAGCTACACAGAGAAACCCTGTCTCGAAAAACCAAAAAAAAAAAAAAAAAAAACAAAACAAAAAAAACAAAAACAAAAACAAAAAAAAGAATTGATGGGAATATAGATAAATAAATGGGAGCTTTCACACGCTGACGATTGGAATGAAAGATAATACAGCCACTGTGGGAAAGTCTGGCTGGTCCTCAGAAAAGTTAAATATAGGATTACAATAATACTCAGCAATTCTACTCCTAGGTATAATACTTAGGAAAACTAAAAAAAAAAAAAAAACCAATTATGTTTGCATAAACACTTGATCATAAATGTTCATAGCAGCGATATATATATAAGAAGCAAAAAGTAAAAATCAAAACTCTATCAATGGAATATTATTCAGCAATTAAAAATAATATGCTGATACATGCTCCAACACGGATGAACCTGGAAAACATTAAGCCAAGTGAAAGAAGTCAGATCTAAAAGGCCACATTTTATATTTCCCCACTTATCTGAAAAGTCCATAGAAAGCAAAGTGGTAGCAAGTAAGTCAGAGGTTAGCCGGAGAGTCTGGGATGTAACGATTAACGGACATTTTTTGAGGATGTGAACAATGTAGCATTAGCAGTGGCCATTGCACAACTTGGTGGATGTATTAGAACACCACCAGTTGTATATTTTTTAGAGGGTTATTTTAGTACAGGTGAATTATATCTTAAACATAGCATTGTTCCTGACATTTAAACAGAACACAGAAATGTTGCTCTACTCCTGAGAACCATCAAGCTGATGTGCTTCTAATGATCTAATAAGCTCCTATGCTCTCATCCTGTATCTCCCCCCCAGCCCCCCAAAAAAGTAGGTTACAGATCTCCCAAGCATGGAGAATTCTGCAGGTCTTATTCAAGTGAAATTCCCTGGAATAGATGCCAAATGAGATACATACCCCTTTAAAGCTTCAAAGGGATGGGGGAGGGACCTCCAATGAGACAAATACCTCAAGGTCTCTCAGATGTAAAGAGCAAAGCGGTTCAAGAATGAGCTCAAGAGTCTCAAAGTTGGAGCAGGGGATGGATTGTGACATCATACCGTGACCTCACACCAAGGGTCAGAGCACCATGAGGGAGTATTTCAAAGCAGGCTCAGTGATTCGGTAGAAGTTAAAAGCAGATTAAAGATTTAGAGTATAGTTTTGAGAAACAGATTGGAGAGAGTTTTTTTTAATAAATTTTGTCATTAGACTCCATGAAAATAGCAGGCTTTTCTCTCTTTGGTTTCGGCTGCCTGGTTAGTTTTTCAGATTGAACTTTTCCCTTGTGTCCAACTCGCCACTCTATTAAGCATTTTATATGCACTACCTCATTTAAAAGCCCAGGACCCCGTGACTTAGGTAATTTTGTCTCCCTATTTTGTAAAGGAAGAAATCGTGTTAGTAGGATGAAGTGATCTTTCCAGCACTGTTATGTGATGCAGCCAGGAGGAGGGCAGATTCCTCGTGGTCTGACTCCTGTAACCTGTGAGAGAATTAGAATTTGCTGCAGTAAATAATGCAGAGGAAGAAGTATTTCTGGTCCAAAGTTGTGAAATAGAAGGCCCTTATAGAAGTTAGTTTCAAACTCAATGACACAACGAAGCCAGGCATGGTGGCATGGTGGCACATGCCTGTAGTCTCAGCATTTAGGAGGCTCAGGCAAGAGGCTTGCTATGAGTTTGAGGCTAGCTTGGGCTACACAGTGAAGTGAATCTCAGTTTGTCTAGGCTAAGATCTTATCTTCAATATATATATCTTCAATATATATAAAGATTTAAGGCATAGTGATAGGTAAGAATAAGAATTCCAAGAGTGGCCAGGCAGCAGTGGTGCACGCCTTTAATCCCACCACTGGGAAGGCAGAGCCAGGCAAATCTCTGTGAGTTCGAGGCCAGCCTGGTCTACAGAGTGAGATCCAGGACAGGCACCAAAACTACGCAGAGAAACCCTGTCTCGAAGGAAAAAAAAAAATTCCAAGAGTGGAAGAGACAAACTCCATCCTGAGGGGCCCAGGCTGTCAGAGAATAGACTGTGTGAGCTATCTCAGAAGAGTAGACCCCAGGCCACGAGCAGAGAGCGGGCATGAGTCACACAGGGGGACGGTTACTACACAGGTTACAAGTCAGCAGGCCTTCCACCAGGCCCCACACTTTCATTACGTTCCAGTAGACATTCAGAAACTCACTTCTGCACACAGCCTTCTTTCCAGGGGCCACCATTCATTCACAAGCATCCCTCAACCAGGCCCTTCACACTTAGACAACAAGGGTATGGAAAGGAAAGTTCCGCCCAGCCCCAGAAGACTGGATGCTGCTGAGGCCTGCCCAGCACAGAAGTACCACTGACATTTGAATTTTGAATTTTTTCCAGTTCTGGGCATTGAACCCGGGGACTTACATATAGTAGGCCAGCATTCTATCACTGCGCTATCCTACTGGGGTGGTTTAAATAAGAAATATCCCCCATGGTTCCAGGCATTTGACACTTGGTCGCCGGTTGGTGGCACAGTTTGTTTGGGGACGTTTAGGAGGTAGCCTGACTGCAGGAAGTGTGTCACTGGGGGGCGGGCTTTAAAGCGCCTTGTCTGTTTTCAGTTTGTCATCTCTGACTCCTACTCGTCCGCCGCACAAGATGTAAGCTCCCAGGCTCCTGCTCCTACCACTGTGCCTGCCGCTTGCTGCCAAGCTCCCAGACAGCATGGCCTCTCCTTCCTCTGAGATGGGAAGCCTAAGTTGTAAGTTGCCTTGGTCATGGAGTTTCATCACAGCGATAGAAAGTAACTGAAGATAGGCATTAGTGCCAGATAGGTGGCTGTTGCTGGTTTTCGTTTAGTTTTGCTGCTGTAAGCAGAGTGTAATGGGCTGTTCTGGGGTCTTGGAAGGGAGAGTTGAGAACAATGGGGACTGTAGAGGCAGGCTCAGCTCAAGAGATTGCAGAGGGAATGTTAGCAGCTGGACTAGAGGCCATTCCTGTGATAGTTTAACAAGGAATGCGGCTGTCTCCTGCGATTGTCCTAAGAACTTGCCTGAGGCTAAACTAAATAGCAATGGGTTAATTTCTTTGATGGAGGCAAGTTCAAGACAGTATAATATTGAATCTGTGGTATGGGTATTATTAATGACTGTTCTACAGGTCTACGATAAAAAAAGAGGAAGTGAGGCAGAGAGAAATACAAAATGTACAGTTTGGAGGGAAAGAGAATACCAGGAGATAATGTTACAGCCAAGGCTTCTGCCGAAAGAGGTAAAGAGATTAGGCAAGGCCTCAAGCTCTGTACTGGAAAAAAAGGGGTGGTTGCCTCAGGGCGAGACCACACACAACTGAAAAAAGAATTTAGGTTCTTGCAAAAAAAAACCCAAAACCTAAGTTGTTTTTTGTTCCTAAACATAGCTGACTAAAAGCTCTGCCCATGTGATTCAAAGGGGGTAAGGTCCATCCAATCTGGCAGCTGACCTTGGCAATGTCATCAATGTGGTAGTGGCTTTAGAGACACAAAGGATGCAAGAGTGAAGGTGTTGTGTCTTCCCACAGCAATAGGAAGTGAATGAAGACACCCAGTGGCCATCATCA